AATATAATAGAAATAATTTTATCAATTTTATTATCTATTCTCTTTTTAATTTTTGATCGCGTTTAAAGAGACGTGATAATTTGTTTCATTGATTAACGAATGGCTCCGGGCAAAAATTCTATTTGAGAGTGTGCACAATGTGTAATGTATGTTTTTAAATATTTGATCCCTACAACCCCGAGCAATTATTTAAGGGCAAACCCTCTGAAAACCACGAGCCGCATATGTTCCCCGACGCGTTAATTCATTTGCCTCAGAAGTTGTACATTTACAAAATTAGTCGCTGTTTCGATTAAGATATTTTTTTTTTTTTATATATATATTTATATTTATTATTTTACAATTATTTTACTCGTTTAATTAACGGAGTTACGAATTAATAAATTATCGGAGGAAATTTAATTTAACGTGCATTGAAAAATATAAATATTATATAAACTCTCCGTTTTATTTATAAAATCTTTTTTTGTTTCACGAAAATCATTGATAATTAACAAAATAAACGAAAGTAGGATTTAATTTATATACGAGGGTAGAAATCGTTTCGATCGTGTACGATTAAATTATAAAATAAATAATCTTTTCGATTGCATAACAAAATTTGACCAAACACTTTCAGAGATACATTGAAAATTTCCTGAATTGACAAATGTTATTTTGAATCTGTGTGATGATACTTCAATTCGACGAAGTCCAAGTTCGACGAAACACCAAATAGCTTCGCAATCGAGTTACATCAATTAAAAACACGAGTTAAAAATGAAACAAACGAGATGCAAAGTTTATTTATCGAGCAAAAGAAAAAAAAAATCAAATAATCTTAAGAGATAGACTCTGGTATTCTACAAACAATCATTAATTAACGCGATAAACACCTTCAAGTCGAATCGAGTTTGTCGAAGAGATTTTAATCCGAGAAATCGTAAGGTATACGCTTTCTATAAAAGAGGCGAGTGTTTAATATTTAAACGATGTTTAAATAAATACTCGTTCGAAACACACTGCTGTACTTTTTTTCCAAAATCGTACGTATATAATATAATATAACATAATATAATATAATAAATTTACATTCGCACCGCGTGCAAAAAGAAGGAAAAAAAAGAAAAAAACAATAATACTAATATCCCTTATACCCGAGGACACGATTAGCGAAGGCTCGTAAAACCAGTATGGCGCGAGTTCGACGCGAGCGCTCCACACGGAAATCTGGGATGTCTGGTTAGTTACCGCGAAGTTTATCGACTTACGGGGCAAGTTTTCGCCGTTGAAACGGCAGCATAAAAGTAAGGGCGCATCCAACGTGCAAGGAACTTTAATAAAACCGAGCTTCCTCGCCCCGAGTGTGCCACACACCCTCCCTCCTCCCCTCCCCCTCCAATCTCCGCCCGTCCTTTCTCCCCCGGTGGCACAAAAAGGATGAGTTTCGCGATATCACAGTGCAATTATCTCCGAGGAAATGAGCTTTGCATAGGCAGCCCAGGAACGTGTGCAATACCACCCGGTAGGAGGACTTATATATGAAAGAGGTCGCGCTAAGGCAAAGGCTCAGTATTTATACGTTCGTACGAGGTAAAGCGACGTCTTGGGGCCGTTCAAGCATTTATGGGTGCACGTTCCAGTTTTGAAAAGGAACGATGCACGGACGATGAATCGGCCTTCCACTGGCCATGATTTTAAAATCCGGCCGGTGAAATTAGTTGACAGACCCGGTCTGCGTTGTGGAGAAAGAGAGGGAGGGAGGGTAAGAAAAAAAAAAAGAAAGAAAAATCTCTTCGTTAGATTTAATAGGGATGCGACCTTGCGCGCCGAACCATCCCTTCGTGGATGTGAATTCGTGAATTTTTCATTTTTGCGTGTGCCGGATCGTCGGAATCGTGTCTTTTAAAAGAGAAATTTCGAAGGCGGGGATCGAAAGTGGCGCCGGTGTAAACGATCGTGTGGGGGAGGAAGAGGAAGAGAGGGGGGAAAGGGGCAAGAATTGAAAAAATAACTCGCCTTTTCAATTGAAGCTTTTTGAATTTTTTTCGCGATTCAACGAGCTCACGACGATGGCTTGAATAGGCGTAACCGTAATTTTGCCCTATTTTATGGAATAAGTGGTAGGGGGTTGTTTGACTGGTGGTAGAAAGTGGTGTGAGACGAGTCTCGAGAGATTCATTGGTTTTACGAATTTATTTTATTCTATTTAACGAGAATTTTTGATGAGGGGGATTTAATAAATATTTTCGATGGCTTTATCCTTTTTACGACTGTTCAATTTAATAAGTCGATTTATTATTCATCACTTTCGTCGAATCGTATCCCTTCGTATATTCCTACCTTCAAACGTAAATTTCTATTACTTAATTAATTAATTAATTAATATGCGAATAATGTCGCGTTATAATGATCGAAACATTAAAAATTGTTCGTCTTCTCACCTTTTTCCAAATCCATTTTCTAACTAATTCTCACTCGTCGTATAAATAATTTGACAAGATCCAAATCGAACGCTGGCTTTCTTGCCGAAACACGTTTGAAACTCGTTCTAACTCGTTCGGTCTGAAATTGGCGCCAAATTCCATCAAATGGTCGGCTCTGAGACACGCACGTTAACCTACGCACCTATGGACCTATGGACGTGATGGTGGTGGTGGTGGTGGTATCTCTCAAGTTTTCGAGCGAGTAGTCCCCAAGAAGAGGCGGAGAGAAGGAGGAGGAGGAGGAGGAGATGGTGGAGAAGAAGGTGGGAAGGGGCCCTCGGAGAGAGGGGCGTTTTCTAAGCTGAATAATTCAGGCTCTCATTAGGGCGACAAAAGCACCCTGATGGATAGCTGCTTGGCTCCGTTGCCTGTCGTTTGTATGGGGCCACACGTACACATTTCACGTTCCATACGCTACCTGGCTGGTGTACGTATGCCAGCAGCCTCTTACCCGGCCCTGGAATATACATATAGGCGCGCAAACATCCCGTAGACCCGACCTCTTCCGACCATTCGCTACGTTTCTCCGTTCTCCGTCCCCCGCTTCTTCCATCCCGCCCCCCCCCTTCTTCCCCCTTCACTTCATCGCTGTATCAAGATGCGTTTTCTTTTTTATTTGTTCGACCTGGAAGGGGGAGGGGGGAGAGGGGTAGATTGGAGTCGGTGTCCGGCAGATGCGAGCCAGGCCTCTGATACTTTAGGGATGATATGTATAGGGGATGAGATTTCTTCGCTCTTTCAACGAAGCTTGGATATTTGTTGCATTTCGGAACAGATATGGATAATTAATTTTCAAGCAGGCGAGAAGAGAGAATGGAGGGAGAAAATTTCATTTTATCAAATTAAGCAACAAGCCTTAAATTCTATTTTCCCCTTTCTCTTATTTCGAGTAAAAAAAAAAAAAAAAAGTAAAACGCGTGATTCATTCCGCTAATCGGTATTCACAATAACCAGCATTAATCGCACTAGCGGTTAATCGATATTCGAGATTAATCGGCATTTCCATCGGCTCCATTATCATTACAATTTCCATAAATTCGAAACAACCGGAGAGAGAAGAAAAAGGGGGATCCCCTGTATGAAAATCTTTTATTACAACCACTACTCGATGCATGCTCAACACGTTCCACGTTTTCCATCAGTTTTTCTCTCTCTCTCTCTCTCTCTCCCTCTCTCATTACCACTTATTATTACGGAGACTCGTTACCAGGGATTGTAAATATCATTCTCCTATCCTATTTATCTGACTCCCTCCCCCTCCTCCTCAACCTTTCCGTTCCCCAACCATCCCTTCAACCACCCTCCACCTCGGTATCCTCCACCTGCAGGCCTCTTGCCACCCCTCCCCCTTGTCGCGGCCTCTTTTGTTTTATTTCGAATGTTCTTTCATTTCTTAAAAGGTTCTCCGGTGATAATTAGCACAATGCGCGGCGGCATTAATTATTACCCGCGCTAATTACCCGAGGATAAATCGCTCTCGGCGAGGGGTGGCCGGCGTTGGCGGCGGATTCGAGGGTCGCCGAGGCGGTTTCGAGGTGGGTTGGGGAGGAGCGGGGGGGGATAGCGGCCGGTCGTGCTGGCCCATTACCGTTATTGCTGCAACAAACCGACCAACAACAGCGATAAATACGAAGCGAGAACCATGGCGTTACAAATGTCTCTCTGAGTTATGATTATTTAGCGCGACTGGTTGCCGGCCGGATCGTTCGTTGCGGCCTGCAAACCGAACTGGATACCGTTTGCGTCACGTTTTATGCGGGCCCCCACCTTTTGCCCGTTGTACGTGAGTTTTCGCCTTTTCCAACAGGGCTGGACTGTTTCTCACTTTCTTTGCAATTCTTTTCTTCAACCGATTTTGGATTATCTCGATAGTCGATGATTTTGATGGAAGATTGTTGCTTAAGCGACAATTGTATCTAATAAGAATAGAAAAAATCGTCTTTTTGATTATTCGTTAGTTTTAAAAGTTATTTGATACATCTAATCGATAATTGGTATCAGCATATTATCTCTCACTTAATAGCGTAACATCGATATAACAATTTTCAGTTTACATATAAATAAGATATATACAGAGTGTTAATATATTTAATATATTTTTATTTGAGATGTCTTTGAAGAATTCTAAAGTCAAATGCAAAAGTTGGTACAAGAAAATGATGACTTATTTATTAAGTTATAAATAAATAAAGTTTAGATCTCGCATCAAATATTTTTGGCGATTATTATTAATCAATGAAAATATTTTAATTTTAACAGTTTTATTTATTTTGTAATAAAATGTTAACACAATTTTCTACATATACAATTTTCTAATAATTAATTTTTATTTGTTAATTTAATTTTTAATTATCGTAAAATATTATAATTATAATAGTGATATTGCATCCCTTACAATAAGAACTAGTTTCACCCCTCATTTCAATCTTGAAATGGTTCGTATACGCACCGCTAGAGGATGTATGAATATACGTTTTCTCGCAAGTGAAATTCAGCCTTGTATAACTTATATTTACTATTTGATTTTAATTTGACATCGCTTCTCGGCCTATTGAGGCTAAGATCAAAGTGTAGTATCTGTTCTTATCAGCTTAATATCTGATACACTCTCCAATGGAGAGTCAGAATATTAATCTGATTTTTTGAAATTGACGGAGTGTTGAAGCTTGCTTCATCTCTGTCACGGGTCGGCCTGGCATTGCACTACCGTCAGGATTGGCTCAATATTATCAATTTCTAAAAACAATTTACGATTCTTATTAATAATAAGATTAGAATTTAAAAACTTGTTTTATTCATTATAATAAAAAAAGTTAAAATACATAATATTTCTTAATAGAAATTGGCAATAAAAAAGGATTATCATTTAGTAAAAAATATTTTAATAAATCGATAAATAAAAGTTATTCAATAATGACATTATGAATACTATACTAATAAAAATAATACATAATATGAAAAAGTTAAATTTCTTGATTTCCAAAATTCGTACTTTAATTTTTATGATTCATTTTAAAGTTGTATTTAAAGATTAATTTCTGATTAATTTTGTTTATTTTTTTTTCGTTTAATAGCTGTTATAGAACTTTCAAAAATTATAAAAATTAATGATCATTGATGCACTATCTTGCGACGAATATTAAAACTAATTAAGTTGTTCTTATTCATCGATCCGCCATCTAACGGTAAATGAATAAAAGATAGTTTACAATTTTCTAAAAATTCTCATGAGATGGCATTTAATTCTTAATCTTATGAATAGATATTTTAACTCAAGAGATGGCCTTAACGATCAATTCTTATTCTCTCCATCTTTTTCTCATCATTTGTTATTTTTTTCTGTATGTTTCATTTCGGAATTCTGGAGATGGCGCTGATTTCAATATTTTTATTCTATCTCTATCTTTCATTATTTGCTCTTTGTTTATACTTGCTCATAGAGGTATCAGAGAAAATTGAAACATTACACCAAAAATGTTTTGAATAGATCATTCCTTGTCTGTGATAATAAAAATAACGTAATGGCTAATACCAAAGTATACAATAATAGTATCGAAGAAACATCTTTTTCTTCAAATAATAATATATCTCTGTCAAATTCTCCATGTGCAGTTATATTTTCACCTTATGTAGTTTGTAGTCGCGGAAAATCTAATGCTAGAAAAGAACAACAATTAAAACGTGGTTTTAGTTTTGGTCGTTCGCCAAGTGATGATATTCCTACGAAGGATACTGTTATGCAAAGTTTAAATATTTCAATTGAAGAAGAAGAACGTACTGCACAATATTTTCATTTTCTTTTAAATAGAGAAATAGATAGGTTAACTGAATTACGTAAAAAATGGATTAAGATTAGGACGGAACCTGAAACTACAAAAAGTGGAAAATATGAAATAAATCAAGCTATTGGACAAATTAATTTGCTAATAAGCAAAAGATTTGAAAGATTTCGTACATTAGTTACTGATTGTGAAGTAGGAAAAGGTGAAATGTTAGTTACGTGTAAAGATTTACAAGGATTTTGGGATATGATGTTTACAGAAGTAAAAAATTGTGATTCACAATTTGAAAAATTGGAAAAATTTCGTTCACAAGGCTGGAAAGATACAAATTTATTTTCTAATAATCAAATTACTAAAAAGAAAATTATATCTGCCAAATCAAATTCCATTAAAGCTTTTTTAGCCGAAAAAAAAAGCAAAATGACAGAAAAAAAAATAAAAAATAATGATGATTCAAATAAATTGAAATGTAATCTAGATGATACTATAAATAATAAGTACATAAAGAATGAAAGTCCTAATATAAAACATAAAATAAAATCTATGTTTACCGGATCTAATGAAGAAAAGATTACACCTCTGAAACATGCTAAAAAATTAAGTCTATTGCAGAAAGTACAATTATCTGGATCATTAAAAAAAATAAAAAGTCCATCAACAATAAAAATGAATTTGTGTAAAACACCAGAAATTCAATTAGATGATTCAATATCCTATATTAATTCTAATCAAACACCTGGAAAGAGTATATTAAAACAATCAACAACTAAAATAGAATCTCATGAGAAATCATCAAATAAAGTTAATTTTGATGATCATATAATTTTAAATGAAATACCAATTGATGAAGAAACACAGATAAAAATGGATTTGGCTGCAGCATTATCCAGAATTGATAATTTTGACTTTGATAGTCTTCGTGAAGAAACAAATGATATACGAAAAAAACTTCATTTTAATGATTCTAATTCTGATGAATATGAAGATGATATAAGACAAGAATTAGAATTAAAAGTTAAAATAAAAAATAATATTAATAATATAACTTGTATGCAAACACAAACATCAATATCATTGCAAGAATTAAATGAAAGTATCTGTAAGCCACAAAAAAAAAATATTACAGCACAAACAAATATGAATGAAAATGATATAATATTAAACCAAATTAAACAAACATTACCTTTAAATATAAATACCTCCACACCATATAAAAAAGATAAAGATGATATATATTTAAACATATTAAAAGAAAAACATATTTCTGTAAGTGATAAAGAAGAAAATCCCCAAAATAATGAATGTATAAGAGTTTTAAGAAATAGAAGTATTTCAATAGATACATCTATAGTTAAAAAAAAATCTTTCAAAAAAGAATCTACTAATATACAAAAACAAGAATGTAAAGAGAATGAAACTCATTTAGATAGAAGAAAAAGAAGAAGTTATTTTAAAAACAATATTAATGATAATGAAAAGACAAATATAAATAATTACGTTCATGATGTATGTTTAGAAGAAAAAGACAATAAAAGAAGATCCACTAGAAGTGTAAAATTTTCTGGAATAGGTAATTTCAAATAAATAAATATTATTTTTCCTATTTTTTTAAACAAATATTCTTTATTACAGAAAAAGAACAAAATAAAGTAAATAAATCAATTCTACCTGTAACTTCTTATATTAAAAAAAGGAAAATATCTTCCAAAACTAATGAAAAAAAAAATACATTGGTAGAGAATTCCTCAGAGATATCTAAGAAACGTAATTATTTTATTTTAATTTTTATTTATTTTTGAAATTATATTTACATATATAATATATATTTATAATTATAATTTTATTTCAGAACGAATCAGAAGATCTCAAAACAAAAAAATATAAATTCTACTTTATATATATAATATTGTTGAAATTTGTACGTGTACAAAGGTACTTAAAATTTTTGTATTTTTCAATTTTTTAAAAAATTGTTTGTTTTTTCTATCCATAAAAGTTTTAAATATTAACATAAATTGTTTTTAATTGAAGTACATTTTTTAATTGTCTAATTTTAATCTTTTTAAATATAATATGCATTATGCTAAATATGATTTAACAAAATAATTTATTTTGTATAAATAAAATAATACGATTTTATTTGCATATATAATAACAAATCAAATTAACATATAAATTGATATATGCATAAATTATTCCACAAACTTTTTAAAGAAAGGAAAGGAAAAACAGAGATGTCATTCTGAATGCTCATTCTCATAGTAATACACAATAAATGTATTTATTAATCATTTAATGAGTATTTCAATCATATATTTTATTTAATTATCAAATAATATAAAAACGGACGAAGTATTAGATTCTTTTATTGTTCATTATGTACAAAAAATAATTTAAAAAAATTATAATACAATATAATTTAGAAAAATTATAAATTAATAAATAATAATAATAAATTAGATTGAAAAATTAAGATTGCTCGAGAAATAAAGATTGATCCAGAAAAAAACAATATGGGTAAAGGTTCAATAACTGATAAGAATATTTCCGCAATCTCTAGAACAAATTTGTAGAACATATACATTGTTCTACAAATTATTTTAATATATTTTGTATTTAAATGACAACCATTATGTTTTCCTATTATTTGTCATTAACTATGTATCTAATTTGATTACATAGTTTCTTTTATTATATAAGTTTAAAGAAATTTTTATAAAAAAAAAGTATTCTTTAAAATTATTATTTTAAATATTTTTTTTTTTAATGTAAAAAGTTTTTATTTTTGAATTTCAAAAATGATACTATTAGAAACAATAAAAATAATGAAAAATATTTTATATTTTTATTATATTTTATTATTTTTATAACATTAAAAGATATTTTTTTATATTTTTTTTTTATTTGATATTATATATATATTAATTATATATGTATAATATATATAATATTTATAATATTTGATGAAAACTATTAAAATTAATTTAATTTAATGTTCATTAAAATTAGAAAAAATATTTAATTACGATAAAGATTTTTTTTTTATATATTATTATATAAGATTTTTTATATATTATGAAATTATATAAAGAATATCATTATATTTATAGAGTTCGAAGTCTAGAAATGAAAATAAATATAAAATTGTTAAATAAAAATTGCTTAAGTCTTATTTATTAAGTTATAAATAATTTAAATTTTTATTAGATGAACTAAATGACACGATGCGTCTTATTATGCTGCGTATAACAAAAATAAAATTATCTCATTCTATCTTGTCTCACTTCGTGCATGGAATGCAAACTTGACTCATGTATTACTTAATAAATAAGCCTCAAGTAAAATTTTGTATATTATCTTTTGTATTTGTTTTTTTGAATCTTTAGAATCGAAAAATATCTTTTAAATATATTCCATGATAATAATATTAATTATTAGCAAATATTTGATAAATTTATATAGAAATAATATAAAGTAACATTATTAGATAATATTTCCTTGATATAAAATTTTATTAAATTTTGACATAATAATAATTATATAATAATCAATATAATATTTTAAAATATTTCTATATTGACAACATAAATAACAAAATTTTTTTTAGTTCTTAGTTCTGGATTTATATGATAATTGTTTTTCCTTTCTCTTCATTTTTTATAATAATGCAAGACATTATTCATAATTTATTATTATTTTAACAAATTCTTGCATGTTTATTTTAATCTTTAGATCGTTGATCGTTATATATATCTACTTGCTAAAATTTTCGCTACAAAATGTATATATATTTACAAATGATGGAATATTTATCATCTATTAATTTATCAATCATTCATTTCTTGGAATTTTAAGTAATTTTAAGATGAAGTATAATCTGAAATTATAATAATTTAAATATCGGAAAAAGAGTAATTATTAAATATAATATATAAATTTATTTTATATATTATATATTATAAAAATTTTATATTATCAACTATATTTTATTAGACAAAAATATTTAAAAAATTTAAAAAATATACATATATAAAATTTATAATATATAATACAATATATATAAAATTTATTATATATTGCAATTATTTATTTTTATTCATGAAAAGAATTGAAAGAATTATTCATGAAAAGAATGATTGTATTTAAAACAAAGAAAGATTTTCGAATATAATTAATATTTTAAATTTCATAATTAATTTATAAAAGTAATAATATAAATATTTATTTTATACAAATTTTTAAAAAATCACTAATATTTGAAAGGAACTTATTCCAATAAAGTTCAATGATTTTCAAATGTTTGCTATAGTAATTCTACGCGTGTCAACGTTTAACGTCTAGTGCTTTGACCCCATTTGAACTTTGCAGATAACTAGTTTCAAGATTTCTAAGCAATCTTATGGAAAAGTTTCATCCTAATAACGAACAATTTATTTATTATTATAAGATTCAACATTTTCTATTTTAATTAAATCTTTTACAAAAAAAATTTTATTTTGTCATTCTTCTTTTGCTTTATTATAATTTACTTAATTTTTTATATAATTGTAGAAATTATACTTTCAATTATTAATATTATAAAAAAAAGAAAATAGTCATTATTTGTACGATATTATTTAATATATTAAAAATTATATTATTTACGAATAATTTATTGAAATATTATATATACATTATGGTTACATAAATATTATTTAAAAATAATTTGTAGTTATCAATTTAAAATATAAAGTATATGAGTAAATGAAATTAATTCAATATATTATTTGTTTATAAAGTTTTTTATTTTTATTATAATATTGTAATATTTTATTATATTCAAGAATTTTTTTACAATTTTTTTAATAATTTTTTTAAACTTAAAAAAAATATATTATTTATATTATATATATTTTTATATACACAACAGAATATATATAAACACAAATATTAGATTTTTTTTAAAATAATTCGAATAATAATTTCGTGAATTTAATAATATTAATATTAATATTAATAAATAATATTGATTAAAGTATAAGAAAAGTTTTAAAAATAATATAGGAAATCCATTTGTCAATAGTACATTTTTGTTAACTACTAATATCCTTCTATTTATTAAACATAAGTAATTATATAATTGTTAAATACAATTAACTCAATATTTCTCAAAAATCAAGAACCAAGAATTTTCATTATCTTCACGGTGTAATTTTAATTCACACAATACAATTTAAAAAATTATTGAAACAACAAGAGTTCACTCCATAAACACAATTCAAAAAATTCTCTTGTACTTTATTTCAATTTCACTGCACTAAAAAGTCTGTAAAACTCAATATAAAATAAGTAATATCTAATCGTTGTGATTTCACAGTGATAATGCTATTGTATTTTTATTGAAATTATAAACTTACATATATTTTTAAAGATATCCACTCATTGAATCATACAGCATTATCAGTGTAAATTGTAACAACTTTGCAAAAAATGTCACATAGACATAGAAAATCAACAATGTTTAATCCATTTCGTTTCCGAATGTATCTTGTCTCTAAAACTAGATCATCAAATATCCCCACTCTCCGATTCTTCCCCTTCCATTGTGGGAAAAGTTCTGGTGGAGGGGATTTGTACATGGTCCTCGTGATATTGCAATGTGGAAGGAGTAATGGCTTCGCGTAGAGTGGAAGGGAATGTCAGAGATGGTCGCGGAGTTCGATAACGCAGGCTTGTCCTGTCTAATTACTCGGAATTTACTCATAGAAGGAGTAGAGAACGTAACAGCGTAGAACACGATAGAGACTGGAATAATAGGCACAAGGAAGATCGTCCGTGAAGAACAAGCGAAGAATGGCCTGTTCAGAAATGCCGGTCACCACGCTCACCGTCTCTCTCGTTTACCTTCTGGCGCTCTTCGGTGAGTTACCAACTTACTTGGTTGGTCCGCCTGCTTTCACATTTCAATCTATCATCCCACTTTCCCGCGTCTGTCATCCCCGCTAATTTCGAACTTTTTCGCGATTTAACCATCGTTTGTTAAAATGAACGGAAAAGGATAGAAGTATTTGATGTTTGTGTCAAAGTTGTTTAGAAGTTGATTTGTATTTTTAAATGGAATCAAGGAATTTAATTTTAAAAAATTATTTAAATATGTAATATATTTAGGAAAATGTGTTGTTTAAAATATTTGAGAATAAGAAAAAAAACAATTTTATTAATAATATTAATTTATTAATATTTTTCTTCAGTAATAAAGAAAATCGATAATTCTATAATTAAATTATTAAAAACAAAATATATAATATAATGTAAAATCATGGATATTTTTTTTCTTAATTTAGATTATTAAAATCAATATATTAATATACATACATCAAAATTCTTTATTTTAATTTATATATATAGATATAATTATTCATTACAATTTTTATGTATATAAATTCCTGATAATTTTTTACTTTAAAAACTGAAATAATGAAATAGAAATATTATCGCAATTATAATTCATATTACTTACGTCAAATTATAATGTTTTAAAAATAATTTTTATATTATCTATATAGATAAGAAAAAAACTATTATTTAAATTTTTATTTTTTTTGTTAAAAATTTTTCATAGAATAATGAAGTATTTTAAATTCATTTGATTAATCATAAATAAATAGAATTTTCAAAATCATTTTTGCAAATTTAAAATCTTACTTATGAAACTTTATTTTTTATGGAACATCATCTCTTTTTTATTATACCATTATATAAATATCTTAATAATTATATAATATATAATTATATAATTTTATAGTTATATATAGTTAAACGAACATTAATTTCAACATTAAATCATAAAAAATTAATTCTTTGGTTCTCAAGGTTACTAATATAAATATTGTTCCATAAAATTTTTCATTAAGGAA